GGCAGCATCTAAAGCCACGATAGGCAGGTGGATTAGGCTGGCAATTGGGGAATCTTACAAGGTCTTGGGGATTCTGCCTCCTTTTGTTAAGGCCCACTCAACTAGATCCTTGGCAGCGTCCTGGGCGGAGAGAGCCGGGGCTTTGCCGGAGGAAATCTGTAAGGCAGCCACTTGGTCGAGGTTTTCTACCTTCGTGAAGCATTATCGCTTGGATATCCTGTCACATAAGGAACAGGCGTTCGGACGCAAGGTCCTCCAGGCGGTGGACCCACCCTAAGGGGGTAAGTTCTCGTTTATCGTCTCAGATGGCTGTCCTGGAAGACGTAGGGAGAGAAAACCAGAGTTAGACTTACCGGTAACTCCTTTTCTACGAGTCTTCCAGGACAGCCGGTAATTCCCACCCTTCTAATGTACAACCGAGAGAGTTAAGGTTGACTGCATGAAAAATGTATTTACCTATATTTGTGTCTTTCAGTGGCTTCCGCTAGTTCTCTTTTAATAACTGGATGTGAGGCCCGGAGGCCCGCCTTTTAAAGGCATGGGGGATGGTGTGTTTCCTGATCCGGAGGGAGGAGCCCTAGGTCTCAGATGGCTGTCCTGGAAGACTTGTAGAAAAGGAGTTACCGGTAAGTCTAACTCTGGTTTTTTTATTCTAAACACACAACAGGTGTTTCTAGGATGTTATAACTTCCTAAAGCCAGATTTCAAAGTCTTTGCTTTGATCTTTGAGGATGAATTACTTCTGCTCATGCAGCTTTAAAAGGCAACTCCACTTTCATTGGATAAAAAAAAGCACATAAAAAAAAATAGCCTATACCATTGCAACACAAGTAATATTGTAATTGAATGTTATTAAAAATTACCTTTCCTTTTCAATCTGCAGCACTGTAATTTTCTGCAACATGCAATGGAAGAAGGTAACCTGGCGGACTTCAGCACACACAGATGGTGGACTGAACGCCACCCAAAAATGTAATTTCCTGCTTGTATGATTGTGCACTAATTTTCAGAATTCTGTACTAACAAACAAGATTTTGAGCATCGCCTGCAACAAAAATGTAATTTTTAGTGAGATACTCCCAAAGGAAAATCATGTCAAAGGGATGCAGACCCTGCCACTTTACTCAGAGACCTGCAGGAGCAGCAGCTGATTTATATTATAAAATCACTCCCATACACAATCACTCGGGACAGACACACTGTTATTTCTTTAGAATAACAAAAGGTAGGGATCTGCAACAACATTTGTTAAAATCCCTGCAATGAACACAGATCACTCTGGAGTTACTCTTTAAAGGTCAGGGGGTGGCTTGTTTTAAAGTTTTTACTACTTGTTAAGACTATATAAATAAATTAATTAAGGTCCATAGTTTGGGCACATAAAGCTCCCAGCCCCTACACAGCCACTAGGCTGGATTGGTGGTTTCCAGCTTCACAATCCTTCAGTACAATACTGTTGGTCTAAGCAGCAGAGGCTCCTGGTGTGGACAAGCATGCAAAAAATGGGTTAAGTACAAATAAGGGAGGAAGATGAACAAACGGAACCAGCGCTCCAATCCTCATGCAAACTGGAAAAATGTCAGAATGCCAAACGAAGAGGTGCTGCCCTTCAAAGCAGCTCTGAGGAAGGGGGTTCAGCTCCCGAAACACATTAGCTTATCCGCAATTAAGACACAGCTCTTTTGCGACTGCTTTTGTGGACCATCCACACTGCTTTTATTATCGTTGGTTTGTGAGTATACATCCTTTTGTGTATTTAATAAATACATGGTATACCACGGTAATGCATGATGAGAGTGCACCCTTGTCTGTTCTTTTTTAACAGATAAGGGAGGGTTCATAATTATTTGTAAAAACTAATTTCGCCAAAAAAAAAAAAAGGAAAAAACCTCTGCCCCATCTTACAACCAATGCTTCTGGTAGGCGCAGGTGATGTTAGCACGCCTCACAACTGCCTCCCGGGTACTCGATATCCGACAAAAATTGTAAATCCCAGGTAATTTTGTTTGAGGGGCTTACAGGAAAGCAGAGCTACAATTGTTCATGGACAGTCAGCTTAGCTTTAAAAGAGACTTACATTAGCAATTACTAAGGTAAATAGTCTAACTCCAATAACTAAAAGTATTGGACTCCCAGTGCCAAAAAAAAACAAACAAATAATCACACAAAGACAGCAGTGAGATCCATTGCAAACTAAATCAGTATGCACATATAATGGGCTCACAGAGCTCCATTATATTGCAGAGAAGAAATGCAAGAGCAGCTTTCACAAAAAAAAAAAAAAAAAAAATTATATATATATATATATATATATATATATATATATATATATAAATAAAGGGATTTTCCAGCTCAGGAAAAAGCTGAACATGTCATAGGCAAAGACTCCTGCCAATCGCCACATGAGAAGGTCTAATTTTAAGTTGAGAAAAAAAAAAACAACAAACCTTTCAATTCCAAAAATGTTAAAAGGTTTGTGCCTGCAACAAAGCTATTTTAGAATTTTTACCAATATCATTCAAGAAGCAAAAAAACTGTCACTGATATGTAAAATGGTAAAGATTGGATGGCCTGTGTCCAAAACACAATGCCAATAAACTTGAAGCAGCATTAAATCCAAAAGCAAACATTGATTATATTACAGATTACCAGTTCAGGCTGCCTTAACGCCTGCCAGTTTTCTTTTTTAAGCATTCTTTCTTCTATTTTCATCTAGTGATGTCTGCTTTTCAAAAGAACAAGCTCTCTTCCAGATGTATTAGTTTACAGGGATGAGACAAACCATTTGCCACTGGCAGGGATGCTTACAATGATCATCTTTTATTTGTGTATAACCCTTATCCCAAAAGGAAAACTGGTTACTGTAACTGATTATAAAGCATGAGCTGGAGTGTGGCTTCAATTTGTTAGTGTATTTAAATCTGCTAGTACATTTAACATTCCCCTCCTCCCCATACTGACAATGTTGCTGTCTACTGTGTCTACTCCAAAGACATGCTGGTAGGTTAATTGGTTAATTGGATCCTGTCTAAATTGGCCCTAGTATGTATGAATGTAGGCTAGGGACTTTAGATTGTACGCCCCTTGAGGGTTAGGGACTGATGTGAATGTACAATATATGTAAAGCGCTGCGTAAATTGATGGCGCTATATAAGTACCTGAAATAAAAATAAATAAAAAATAAAATAAAAATACTGTGCCCCTTCATCCAGAGTGGGAGCACTCTAATACAGGAGGTGTGTTGCTAGCCAGATCACCAGGTGAAAACAGAGGGGAAAAAGCCTAAAAAAGAAAACAAATTCAGCCACCACATCTAAGGATTGGTAAGCTGCAATATATTACATTTTGGGTTTCATACTTAAATATCGCTTCAAAGTGGAATATCAGTTAAAATACAAAATTTGCAAGTAGGAAGGTTTTTATTGCAGATACTATGCATATGTCTCTTCTGCAATACCTTAATGCTAGTAAGTCTATAAAAACTAGGCACCCCTTGGTGCTGTGATAAATTAAATTCCATACGCAATCATGAGAGTTACATCATCCTTGGCGGGCCAATAAAGATGGAAAACCTTGAGGAAGACCAAGCAGATGTCTGCAGCAGCAAGGGAGCTTGCAGACATCGCACTGCTGAAGGGGAAGTAAGAGATGAGGACTTTAGTTTTGATTTAACTAGAAGCTTGTTACAAATATTACCCATTAATACAACTTTCAGTTCAGACTCTTCTCAGAAGTTATGATAACTCTGAGAACTCCTTGTGGAGAGAGGGAACGTTTCCTATGCACAGCTGACTTCCTCTCAGTTAATCCAACTAAATTAGGCAGCCTATGGTAAACATCATTTAGGCTCGCTAAAACACATTACAACTCCCCTTGTTCAGCCCCAATGGGTGAATGAGAAGTCAATAGCTTTCCCCATCCATGCTAAGCAATGTAGATGGAGGAATCTTCCTGGCCATCTACTGTATTCTCAAAGCTGTCAAAGTATCAAAACAGTGACTACATCTGATTGGCATCGTTCGGCCAAAAATTTTTCACCCAGCTCCTTTGACTTATCAGACTGAAGTATGGTGGATCTGGGTGATGCCAACAATTCCACCACGGCACAAATTTTGGACAATTCAGAGTATGACCAGCATTAATCGAAAACTCCCAATAAAGTACAACTATCTTTAGCTTGATAACAAATGTGAATAACTACAAGTATTTAGGCCTTGTTCACACCATATGTGCAGAAAGACTGTTGGAAAAAACGTGCAGATTTCACTTGCGGAGACACAGGTTTACATCAGTTTTCATGTGTGTTTCAAGGAGTTTTGCGTGATGCTAGTGTTGTGGTATGAACAGGGCACACAGAGAACAATTGTTTTCTTTGTGCCCTTGCAGTACGCAATGGCACAATGGTGTGTATGAGGCATTATACTGGCATGCCAGTCAATCCCTAGAAAAAAAAAAAATCCTAAATCTACTCCCATTCCCCTTTCTAAGCCTATTCTATGTACCCTGTAAGGACAGATGCTTACACTTACCTATTCTGAAGCTGCTCTGGTCCAGTCCCAGGGCCAGCTTCAATGTAGAGGAGGGAGACCAGACAACGGCTGTCCTCATGATTCACATGATGATGAGTCACGTCATCGAACAGACTTTGCACCATTGTTGCTGCTTCTCCTCTACACTGAAGCTGGGGCCCAATCATGTAACCGGTCCGAAGCAACTTCAAAATAGGTAAATAAAGTCATTTTTTTTCAGGGTAGATAGCATAGTCTTAGAATGAGGGTGGGAGTAGATTTAGGCTTACTTAGGGTATGTCTGGAATTCCACTTTATATATTTATATGTAAATTATATTAGTAGCACTTTTACACAAATGTACATATTTTTGGCTTAAAGGCATTTAAAGTGAGTAGTGTGTACATCATTATCTCCAATTTGACATCATAGACTAGCAGAGAAAATACTGGAAATATAAAATCATTTGTGCTATTTAAACAAATTAAACAATCAGCCAGTAGAAGACTCAGGAAAGTAGAGCTCCAAGTCCCTAGTCTCATAGGTAACAGAAGGCAAACATTTTGTCTGCTCAGAGCTCAGCTTGTTCTGCCCCATGACTTTCAGATCCACATGTTTGATCTTCCAATTTTTACCAATCGGACAACGTATTAGTCCAAAGATCTGTTCAAAGATTCCCATACAGGCCCCATCCCTGTGGATTGTACCAGCAACTGCCACCACCACCAGTCCATGAAGAGAAGACACACATTTTAATCCCCTGCTGTCAGTACTGGGACTAAATATCAATCTCTCATCTCGTGTAAGTGCAAGCAGGCGGAGACTCGCCATCTGAGCACCCTTGTGTTCCTCTGTAGCTTGCTCGGCTGCTTTGTAGGCAAACCGAAGTATGGCATTCTCCCAGAAGTGTTCTGGTCCCCAGGCTCCCTTTTCTTGTCCAAAGGAAGGATTCTGGGAGTTCAGAAGAATGTAGAACCACTCACAAAACTTTTCACCAAGTAATTTAAAGTCTGTTGGCTCCAGGTTGGGTTCTGCTTCTTGAACCTGGAAAAGATAAAAAGAATCAGCTATCCGTTTTTTTTTAGCTGTGTATTATTACATTATATTGCCTATAAGTTCAAACATGACATTTAAACATTGCCGATTTCTGCTGTGAAGGAGGAATTGGGGATAAGTCAGAACTGTCCTAGGGCCAGGTCTCAAAATATTAACCCTTCTGAGCCTTTTTTTTTTTCATATTTGTTAAAATGCATATTAAAGGGTTAATTCACATGATTGCATAGACTCATACCTCTGTGCAGAGTGTCACATTTATATGCCCGGTGTTCCATGCATCCAACCTGTTAAAATCAATGACATCTGGAGAGACACAGCAGCTATACGACTCTTCCCCCACATGGCAGTGCTTACGTCCATTTTGATGTTTTAATCTTTATTGCTATCACAAGGGGGCCAACAAGTCTTTACAGAAACACTGAATTCTTAAACAAAAGCCCTTTTATTAGTCACAAAAGATGCATAGTTTTGGAACCATTAAAAAGCTCCTTCATCAGGTATGTGCCAGAATTGCTCATTCTCTTAGTCACTGCAGCACTTGGTTTATGTAGGCTGTGTTAAGCATTTGGACTGCACCTTGCTTCCTTCCATGTGCACGTTCTCCTTACTGAGGCATTAATATGCCCTAATGACATACTTGCATTTTGTTGAAACCAAATGAGCACAGACTGTGCTTTATTAGCTTCTTCCCTAGCCAGGGTGGCCAGATATTGGCAGCTCTGAACCTAGAAATGTTCAGAGATGAGGGCTTCCAGTTTCATTCTTCACTGGGGATATCAGCGAACAGACGTTCTCGGATTTCCTGCCGCGCTCCATTTTGGACACCCGCCATGGAGGTCCCAGGCATCCAGGAGGGACAAGCCTTCATATACACTCAGAACAGGTTTCTTTTAAACTCGGCTTGGCACTCCTACCTGCTGAAAAATACAGAGGATTCTAATGCTAAGGTCGATCACTTTCAGTGCAGGATTACTGGTCTTTAGTAGAATCTATAGGTCAGTTAAATAAGTCATTTAAATAGATACTGTCACTTTGTTTGACAAAGGGGCGACCTTGTTGCCCTGTAACATGTATCTATGCCCCCCTTCACTTCCTGTCATCATCACCCAGCTGAGAGAAGTGCTGATTGAAGCCTCAGCCATCTTGCTGCGCCTGGAAGCCACTGCTGCCTATGTTCCATCCTGAAGCCTGACAGCTGTACTTCCACCAACAGCTTCCTGGCCGAACTCTGCTTCAGCCATCTACTTGCCTGCCAAGCTTCGCAACCTCACAGTGATCCTATGGAAGTCTATATGGGTTTATGACAAGCCTTGATTTACTTTTAATTAAGGAGTTTATTCTTATTATCTTTTATTATTTTCAATAAATCTCTACAACTAGATGGAGGCAAGTGTTTGTTTTATCAATGTATAAGACTTCCTGACAGCAAGGAAAAGTAGCTAGAACAGGGTGATTCCATAAGTTTCACACCTCCACCCTGTTCATAAGCAATCAACACCTACACATTCTATAGTAATTGGATTAAGGTGTCAGTGTGAGGGTAGAAAACTCATTAAAACTGATGAAGCATTGTGGACTTACTTTGGAGTTATGAAACGTCTTCAACATTACAGAACAAGTCCAATTGAATGTGAATAACTACTACTAGTTATATTGTGACTTAAATTATTAAGAACCTTCACAGATATATAGATTAACGTAGGCTGCCATTACTGACCTCTCCTAAAATGCTGGCTGTCACAAAGATCCAGAACCATCATTGCTATCTGAAGACATGTATGCAGATCAGCAGCTCTTTCAGGCAACATGCTTGATCCACATCAGTGATTCTTAAAGTAATAAAACTAGAAACACGGAAAACTAACATTTTCAGGATTGTAGCACAAAAGATTAACGCCCTCACAACTGAAAAAGGGACGTGCACGTGCTCTAACCACCTCTACTGTGCCATACTGTTTGCTCCGTAATTACAGGTATACTTTGGCATCAAAGAAAGTCACGAATTAGTCACCAAGTCAAGATTTAATCAAGCACAAAGTCACTGAATTTAAAGGACATTATCACCACAAAATTAATTATTTATTTACAGTATATATATATATATATTTTATTTTTTTTATATATTTCACATTTTTTGATTATTCACCAATCAGATGAAATATTGATTTATATATATTCATTTTCAAGTACACATCATCATATCACGAATTTTTTTTGGGGATATTATTTTCACATTTACATATTTTTTTTATATTAGTGGATATATATTTAAATTTTTTGCATCACATATATAATTTTATTTTCCTATATTTTTGTATATCACTTGAATATATATATGTTCACCATGGGTAAATAGAATTATTAACACAATAGAGATTATACCGGGAGCGCAACACACATTATGTCTTTGGTTTTTGGCAAAGATACAGGTTTCTATGAATACACATCTCAGATCTTAAGGCAATGGGTACAAAAGCTTTGCATGCAATAGAAAAATCAGTCTTGATATAACTAGGTCAGTTCTAGATCATTTTTTGTTTGTATTTGGAAAGTGAGTGTGAACTTTCACTTGCAGCTTGCTTGATCAATTTGTCTATTAAGGGTCTTTTGCTAGATTTTAACACTGTAATTAAAGTTTTTTTTATGCTCAAAATATGTAAGGTTTTCCTTGTGGTTTTATCTGATAGTCTAATAAAGATAGCGTTTCATTGACGCTCTAGGGCAGGGGTCTGCAAACTTTCCAAGCAAAGGGACAGTTTACTGTCCTTCCGACTTTGGGGGGTGGGGTTCAAACAATGGTTGGTGTGAGTAGAAAATGCCCTGAGAATACACAATGCCCCATCATTGGTATCCATAGGAGGACCAGTGCCTCATTGTTGGCATCATTGGGAGGAATAGTGCCCCACTGATGGCTGTCAATGGTGGGGAATAGTGCTTTGAAGGCCAAATAAAAGCAAGCAAAGGGCCATAGTATGGAGACCACTGCACTAGAGCAAAAATTTACAATGAGTGTAGTGGTTTCTGCAAGAACATACATTACACAAATGTATATGTGAAATACAAAAGGCTGCCAACACAAAATCCATACTAAGTGCTATGCTACCTGGTCTGTATTTTTTTTTTACCCAGCCAATGCTATTATTAGCTAAAAGATAAAAACGCTGGAATTTTATTTCCAGAAAGGGTGGCAGCCTTATGTGACAATCCCACTGGTTTGTAAAAATAACATTTTAGCCTGCTAACCTTCTTTTCAGGAACTGTTTTCTTGTGAACTGTTGGTCCTGCCCAATGATCAATCGCATACTGAATCAGCTGATTCTTATCACTAGACGGTGGCACTGCAAGTTTTTCTGCAGCCAGGTATTTAAAAATTGCATCTCGGTGAACTTTCCGCCTTTTCAAGAGCTCTTTAGCGTCCTTGCTGTATATTAGTATGGCTTCAATTGCCTCTAAAACATTTAAACAAACATGAAAAGAACAATTAAAATGAATTTACTGAGAACAATACTTCACATTTAACAATACATACAACTTTGTGGCATTCAGTCAGATATAGCAATCTGAGAACAGTTACAGTCTAGATTTAGCTAAAAATAAAAACATAAAAATCAGCGTAAGGGACATAATTTACAGTTAGTATCATGTATCCTTTCTGTTGATTCTTCTCCTTTCAGTACAAATCTTCCTCTGTTCTAATTCCTCTGCTGCTGCCATAATCTTCATGTGCAATGGGGGTTAATAAAGCTGTCAGTTCTCTTCAAGAGAGCTTGACTATGCCAGCCTTTTCCTGCCAGATCCACAATGCAAAGAAGCCATTCTACAGCTTCTATGAATGACACAGGATTACTGGATCTGCCAAACATTTGCCTTTTCCCCAATCATCAGGGATCTTGCGTTATTTGTAGAAGCTGTACTACATCTTCTATGAATAGCAGATTGTGCAGGAAAGGACTGGCATAGGCAAACACTTTTAATGAGAACGTGTGACAGCCCCTTAGCTGTGTTAAGCCCCCCTACAGCTGAAGATTGCAGGGGCAGAGGGATAGTACAGAGGAAGCTTTCTACTGAAAGGTGAAAAATCAGAACAAGGGACACATCAAACTAACTGTAAGGTGTGTCCCTTGTGCTGATTGTTCCATTTTTATTTATAGCTAAACTTAAGGTTTTTAAAGGGATTCTGTAAAGCTTCATTTTTTTTTTTTTAAATTAAGGGTTCATTCACACCGTGGTGCAGAGATGTCAGTTTTCTGCATGCATTCTGCAAAGGCACAACAAAATCAATTTTTCTCTATGGGCCCTGTTCACACCACAACATTAGTATCGTGTGCAGATTATTCCTGCGCAGGAATCTGCAACGTGTATAAAACTAATTGAAGCATGCATTGAAAACGGATGTCTCTGCAAGTGCAACCTGCACATCAGTTTCCATCAGTTTTTCTGCAGGTATGGTGTGAATGAGGCCTAAAATAATAAACATGTCATACTTACCTGCTCTGTGCAATGGTATTGCACAAAGAAGCCCTGATCCTACTCTTTTCTGGTCCCCCAGCAGCACTCCTGGCTCCCCCACTACAGGCATTCTTGCTCCTGACCCCCGCTGTCTGCGTCCATAGATACAGACAGCAGGGCATGGCCCTTCCTCCAACTCCCTGATAACAGAGATTGACTGCCAGCCAATGGCTATCGCTGCTATTGATCTGCCCTGTAAGGATGGACAGAGCAGATAGAGCTGCTGATCTCATGCACAGTGCTGGATCGCTGGGGCTCAGGCTTTACAACCTCTTTAAATTTCAACAAAAAAACATAACGAGAGCCAAAGTGTCTAAAGAATTCCAGCTAGCAAATATTTTGTGCTTTTTTTATCCATTTGCAGAAGTTGAAATAAACTGGATTCACTTACACAGACAAGTTGTATCTTGAATATATTGTCAAGTTAAAGACGGATGTCCCCCTACCCAACTAAAATTAAATTAAAGTAGCTAATATCTGTCCCTGAATGACAAAAAAAAAAAAAAAAAAAATCTACTAGTCCAGCATTGTCTCCTTGTAGCCAAAGTTCTCCTTTGGGATCTTCATACAACATACGCAGACAAGCAGTGGGTCTCTGCCAGGTCAGGGATTTGCAATGTGTCAGTGCATGCATGAGATCCTCCACAAGTCTCTGACAGCTACTATAGACCTGCAGTGTGTCTGTGCAGGCATGTGATCTCACACCCAAATACTGCCTCCTGGGATGTGACAAACATCAAGAGGCATCTGGTGGCTGGACAGATGTCACCGTCACCATCACTTACTGATGACTCACATCTGGCTTCCTTCTGCACATGTGCAACAAGCAGCTGGTCCTGCAGCCCCTAGGACAGGGGTGGACAACCTGCGGCTCTTCAGCTGTTGCAGGACTACAAATTCCATCATGCCTCTGCAAGTCATAGCTGTAACAGTCAATTTTGCAATGTCTCATGGGACCTGTTGGGTCATGCTTGTAACTTCCGGTCTTTCCAATGCCTCATAGGAAATGTAGTTCCACAAAAGCTGGAGAGCCACAGGTTGCCTACCCTAAAAGGAACACATTTGCCATTTCTTTACAAGTTAGGGGTCAGGAGATGAAATAAGGGAGTTTAAATTTTTGGATTAAGGTCTGCTTTAAAGGAGTAGTTCACCTTTACCAAAAAACTACTTATGCAGATAAGGGACCTCAGTAGATCTAAGCAAAATGTGCAGCTGTTGTACTTGCTATAGGTGTAGGCCATTTATGTACCACCTGAAGCCTGACTAGGAAAACCCCTAGGATAATGATAAGGAAGTTGCTAACAGAAGCCCACTGTTACTGTTCACCATCACAGGAGTAAGCTCGTTCTCCGATTCAATTGCCCTCATATGCTTTCTCTCCCCTGATGTAGTAGCTCTGAGCTCAGCACTTGAGAGCTCACTCCTGTGATGGTGGAATTGAACAGAGCTGCACAGTTTGTTTTTTTATTAGTGGTGCACCAAAATGAAAATTCTGGTGCCGAAACCGATACCGAAAGTTCAGAATGCACGTGGCCGAAAACTGAAACCAAAATGCCTGCATATGTGGGGGCTCAATATTGTTTACTTTAATGTGTATTTTTGTTTACTTTTTAACTTATGATTTTATTGCTATCACATAGGGGACCAAAGACCAAAAGTCTGCTATGTGATAGAATATGAGTGACAGGTCATCTTTGTAAGGGGGGAGAGGGTGGGGGGGCAGTTTGTGCAAGGAGAGGAGCAGTGTATACACTCAGGCTCCCTCAATGGCTGCCCCTATTTGTCACTGACGGTTTTTAAATGTAATTACTGGCTTTTACCAAAGCCATATAATATGAGGTCAAACCGAAACACTTTTAATTTGTATGCAATCAGGTAGGCCATTGCACTACATAGCTGAAGGTAAACCAAAGTGCCGGTTCACATTTATGCACATTGGATGTGGTTTGAACCGCATCCAACCCGCATGACATGTGAAATAATATTGCTTCCTAGCAGGGTGGATTTGATTTAAATCATGATTTAAATCACTAGTCAGTAAGGCTTGATTTAAATCCTAGTTTTCTACATAAAGACTAATTCTTGCTGGTATAACTTTAATATGCAAGTAGATGAAGATTTTTAGAATAACAACTTTTCATATTAGTTTTTTTATCCCCAGTTTAATAGGTTAATCATTCATATTTGGACAACTTTTCTGTTGTGCTTAGGAAGGAGAAAAATAATCATTACCTTAATAATAACAATTTAAATAGATTTATTCAACTGAAACAATAACATTACAGCATGTTATCTGCTTAAACAAACATCCATGTTTGTTACTTATTTGGCTAAACAAAATATATATATTTTAAGAAACTTAGACTGTCAGCCCCTTCCTCCTCACACTTAGTTTCACTTTCTTCTTGTGCAGATCTATTCCACTCCAAACAATCAGAAAAATATTGTTTCTATTCTATTCACTGAACTTCTTGAAACTTAGCACTGAAGGGGTTGATTCTGTATTCATAGGTTTGTAGAAGTTAGGATTAAGGTCTTTTTCATAACTCTGTTCATGTTATAACATTTTTGCTGTGAAGAAGAGGCATGTGATCTCCGCTGAGTCAAATTCAGTTTTGAGAACTGCAAAAGTAAACCAATCATCTGTGATAATATCTTGTAGGCAGAGAAACTGCCCAATAATCTTATAAAAACCTCTGGAAGAGCATGACATTGTGAATGGATTCATGGAATTTATTTACCAAAACAATTAAACATATACAGCCTTATTCTACGTAATTAAACTAATCTTTATTTCATGATGGAATAACCTTTGGATGGTAATATATTTTCCTCAAAAAGCATTTTATTTTAAAAAATCCGATTTAAATCATAAAAATCTGATTTTTTTAAAAAAATCATTGATTTTTATCCACCCTGCTTGCTAGGGTGCTTGTTCACATATGTCTGGTGCTCTGGCGGTGCGGATTCAATGCGGTTTGAAAAAGAGTCATGTACGATTTCTGAGCAGTGCAGTCCGGTTCAGGTGCGAATTACAGAATATTGACTTCTATGGGAAACGTTTCCAAACTGCATATGTGTGAACAGGATAATCCTGGCCTGAGCCTGTCCCTCACCTGATGTAAGGGAATAGCAGATCTACATTTTAGCTCTGAAGAAGGGAGTGTGTCTCCCGAAACGCATTAGATTACCCCATCAAGGGTTTATCATCACTTTGGACTGTTATTCCGGACTCTTGGTTTGTAAGTATGCATATATATGCTTTTAAATGAATTCATGTTTCACCACGGTAATGTATGATGAGAGTGCGCCCTGTTTTGCTTTTGTTTACTAGTACCAAGATTTCCCGATTTTCTAAGGGCTGCACCTTAACGTTTGGCATTTAAAGTTATCCTAGTCTGCATGAAGATTCGAGCGCTGGTTTTGTTTGTATATTTTGCGTCACCTGATATAAACCTAACCTGAATCGCTGAACAACTACTGTGTCAATTAGCTGTGAAACCCGAGCTTCCATCTGCATCACACGTGTGAGTCAGCTCTAAAGAAGATTAATTAAAAAAATTGTATAATGTATGACCAGCTTAACTTAAGGGAGGGCTCTAACCCCTGTCAGATTTGCTTTTGTCATGTGTCCTATTGGGGAGATTTCCCTTCACTTCCTGTCTCATAACCAAAACAGGAAGAGGAAATCCCTGCAAAGTGAGGGAATCCCTGGTTGTCACCAGAACTAGTGTCTTCATTGAAAGAGTTCCCCTTTATTACAGTTCTGGTGACAACCCAAAATTTGGGATTTTCTTTCACTTTCAATGATAACAATAAACATGACAAGCAAAGGGCTGAATCTTCCTGATGGGAACACAATCAGCAGTAAAAACCTGACAGGTGATCTAATCCATCTCCAGACTACACAACACTAATCTAAACAAAAATTGCCTTCAGGG